CTGGTTGCCTTCTTTCAGGCTTCAGATTCGCCCAGCATATGTTGGTTCCCCATTGAATGGATGCCAGGGAGCTGGTTCCACCCACTGGGCTGGCATTTGGACTTGACTAGGTTAGCCAAGGGAGCGGCCAGCCAAGTGGTCCTAACAAATGTTCTCTTGGATCCTGACTGTCTGGACAGGAAAATGACACTGCGTCAGCCATGGCTCCCAGGCAAGCCTGACTTGACAGCTTTTTCTAAAATCTTGGTCCAGGAGAAGACAGGGAAGATGCGAACAGTGTAGAGTTTAAAAACCTGGGCTTCCTGACACCTTCTATTTCCCATCTCCATATGTAGGTATCTATATAGATGAAGAGATTTGGACCAGCTCATTGTCGTAGAGGTAACTAACCCAGTGTGAGGAAGGGCAAATCTGTTCCTTAGGGTACAAGTCTGGCTCAGTGTAGATTACTGCAGGGCAACCTCAGGACAGTGATGTCCTAGGCGAACCCCAAAAGAGATCTGGGGTGTCCCCTCCTCACATCTGGTCATCCAGGAAGATATCCTCTCTGGACAGACTTACAGCTCTCTAATATATGACCATGGACAATTATATAGTTAATTAAAACTGAGGACATGAACAATTGGTAATACCAATGTCTTTTAAAATGACCATATGTTTATTTGTAGCATTTCAAAACATCATCTGCATAATTTCAAGTTTTAATGACAAGCGCTCCTTTAGCAGTCAAAAGCATTTTTAAATTTTCTTTGTATTTTTCTACAAAGATCTCTGATGCCCATTAGCTCTCTTGCAAGCTTAGCATTTTTGCTTCTCTATCCTTCCAAATAGAGATAGACTTTTTGAACAATTACTATGTGCTAGGTTATATGAATTATAGCAGTTAATCCTCCTCAAAATTCTGTGATCTAATTATATATAAATACCATCAGAATTCACTAGAGGCAGGGGAAAGAAATCGGACTTAGGCCTTGAGAAATTTTCCCAAAATTATACATTTGGTGAGAATCAAGTGCCCTAACTTTGGAGCCCAGATTCCTGACCAGCATGAGACTCTCGCTGCTAGGATTTTTCCCATCTTAATAGACTGCTAGAGGCCGAAGGACGCCACTTGAATGTGAAAGGAGCCACAGCTTCCAGTTCTCCGCAAGTATACAGCTGTTCAGGGACACACGACAGCCTGGCTGCCATGATACTCTACTTAGTTTAATGTCTGTGGCCACAACCTCTGCATCCACAAAACCTTTCAAAACTTGCGTAAATTGGGATTCTCTGGACAAGGGAACCCAGCAGCAGACATTATGTGGTTATGAGGGTGAAACCCCAGGTTAGGAAGAGTGGGGGAATACAAGAGAGGAGGCAAGGAAAGAAGGGAGGAAGGAAAAAAGAAAAAAGTCTTTTATTTATTTGGTGTACAGGGTCTCACTATGCAGCTCAGACTCATAGTGATCCTCCTGTCTCAGCCTCCTCCCCAGTGCTGGGATTACAGGCGTGTACCACCATGTCTGGTTTCGGTGGCCAGCACAGTACAACTGTGGGTTCCCAGGCCAGGAAGACATGCAGTACCAGGGATCAAACACTGGTCCTTGTACCTTCCAGGCAGGCACTTAGACCGCCAAGCTATCTCCCCAGCCCAAATATCTCTATTTCAGATCACAGTGTTCAACAATTTCTCCATCAGAACCTTGGCTTGGGCACAAGATATCTATGTGGCTGTACATTTAATCTCCTTTTCGGTTCCGCTATCCTTTAATCAGATCCTGAGTTTAATTTTCAATATAATCTGTCTGTGGATTTCAAGAATATCCTTAAAGCTTTTATAGACATGGCTTAAGTTAGAAAATAGCTTCCCTAGCCTATCATTTCATTTTTACAAATCCTCCAATATTGTCTGAAAAAAATCTACCTAACAAATCTCCCCAATTTTTATGATTGCCATTTCTCCCACACTGAGCAACACAGTAGCCACTTGATCTCACAAAGCTCTGCTTTCTACCTACACTTCATCCCAAATAGCTGCAGGTAAGTCCTTAGGTATGTCACTTACAGCCCTACTTACCATCAACTCTGGGACCTTGATTACTTATAAATTGACAGGAAATCCAACTCCAACACCCCATCTTGAAGCTGTACTTTTTAGTGTCACTTCGGTACTAACTGTTCCTTAAGAGACAGAGCATGAAGAAATGTTTATTTGCTGTGATGGTTCATCTCAGTTGTCTACCCAACTAAATGAAGAGATACCTAGAAAATTAATTCAGCACACTCCTGCCTATGTCTATGAGGGTGTGTTCAGAGGTCACTGGGCTCTGAACTGCCTGGAGAAGTCCCACCCTGAGCGTGGGTGGCACTGTCCAACAGGCTTGGGTCCAGATAGAAGAAAACAAGGAAGAGGCGAGCTTAGTGGAGTGTACACGCTCCGCTCTTCCTGAGCAGCTGATTCTTTTGCTGTTGCCTTTGCCCGTAGATAGCAGATAGATAGCAGACTACAGATTCTCAAGTCTTTGAACACAAACTTGCACCAGCAACTCTCTGTGGGGTTTGCAGGCCCGCAGCTTAGGACTGCATTATTGGTCCTTCCTGATCTGAGGTTTTTAGCTACTCAGACTGAATAGCTACTGGGTTTTCCTGGCCCTCTAGCCTGAAGAAAGCCATTGTGGAGCTCCCCAGTCTTTGGTTCTATAAGGCAACCTAATAAACCCCCCTAGCAATTACATACGCACTGCAGTGTTTTTGTTCTTCCTGAGAATCCTGGCTTACACACTTGCTGATACTTTATTGAGGGATAAAATCCTAGTGTAAAAACAAAAACAGGGGAACGGGAAGTAGGGAGGGGAGCAAATACAAAGCTTTGAATTACAAAGCTGGCCAAATATCAGAAGAAAACATTGCCACTTTTCAGTCACTTACTGGACACCTCCTGGCGGGTCAGCTGGCACCACTGGAATCTTTATATTGGGTTCCTTTCATCCCTTGCCTTTTATTGGCTGAAGTTTTTCCCTAAAGTTCAGTTCCCTTGCATTTCAGAGTAGAGCTGCCAGGTAACCTCTCTGAGCAGATCTTGTGTGACATGGTATGGGTCCCCACCTAGACCCAGAAAGGGAAAGAAGAGACACATGAGACTGAGCTTGGCCTTTGCTCCTTCCAGAGTTGGACGGGCCAGGAAGGTGAGAAGGGTCAGGTGGCTCTGAAGAGGTGCCTAGGTACACCAAGTTCAGGAGAGGCCTGTGGAAGACCAGAATAGATATTGTAGACTTTCCAGCTTAGGACACCCGCCCAAGCCTGCCAGTCTGGAACTTCTAATTGGGAGCTAGTGCTTCCAAATCCCAGCAGGGCTGCTGTATGACTCTGGCTATTTCACAAACATCTATGAGCTTCCCAAATGGGGCAATTGCCTTTATCTCCCTGAGTCATGAAACCTGAATTAAAATCTGATGCAAACAACATTTTCAAGTGGCAGGGCTGTAGGCAGACCCCAGAGACTTCGGTCACATCTAAAGAGTTAGGCCCTAGTCCGAGGAAAACGCTGGCTTTAGCTGAGAAGGCTACTCAGTGGTGGCTCCACGCTGTGCTTCACCCCCTTTCTCCAAACCCTGAATGAGTCACTTAGGAATCCCCTACCCCCTTCCACTCCCTCTTCTCAGACAGTGAAGGGATCCGTTTTGCTCCCTGATTTGTACCCAGCAATCAGTGCTCTGCCTGGCTTCTGATAGGCGCCCATGAACACTGTTTATACAACGAATGAATGAGTGAATGAATGAATGAATGAATGAACGAATGATCGTCTGGGCATTTAAATGCTTTAAATGCTCCCTCAGCCTTTTCCTCTTGTCCTGGAAGCCTTTATTCTCTCCCCCTCGGGTCTACATCCTTCAGTGCTCTTCTTCCAGTGCAGGCCCCTTTCCCTCATCCATGGAAAGCCAGAGAACCCCGCCACACCCATCGCCCCCCCCCCCCGGAAATGGGAGGAAGGGACGATGTCTCATTCATTATTGTTCCCTAGGATCTCCCTGGTGAGGTGCAGATCCGCAGAGTACAGAAAAGAGTGCTGCGCCTGCGACTCTAACATGAAGAAAGTTGATAAGACATTGGTCTGAAAGCTGGTTTGCAGAACAAACAGTTCGCAGAGTGTGGGTTTACAGGAGGGGGCAGAAGGGTGCCCTGGAGACCGAGAGAAGGTACTAAGTAAATGTTTCTTCAATGAATGAGCTGAGATTTGACTCTGCTCTGCGTCCTAAGCTCCTGGCACACTCGTCTAGCTAAACACAGGACTGTCCAGGTCTTGGGTGGCCTCACTGGAAGCCCCTTCCCCCACTCATAGCCGCCCCATCAATCACAGAGCTTGCAAAGCGCTTCTACCAGACCACAGCGTCCGCGCCGGCCTGCGATGCTGCTTCGGAAGCGAGGAGCAGTTTGTCTACCGGAGACGTGATCGGGCTCCTTTTGGAACAACCGACTTGTTGATTATCTCGCCTCAAAGAGGAGTTTGCTGATGTTGAGGAAAAGCCACGGTGGAAAGATCCTCCCCCGGACCGTCGCAACTACCCCCCGGAGGCAGCGCAGAGTTGGAGCAGTGGCCCCAAAGCCCGCGCTGCAGAGGGGAAGGAGGATAAAGTACGTGGCCTCGGAGCGGCGGCCTGACCCTTACAGCCCTGGGACCGTAGAGCTGGTGGGGAACGGGGTTCCGCAAAGACGGAGAGCAAGCTCTGTAAGTCGGGCCCTGACACCTTCTCACAGTCTCGGGGTAAACTTGGGGGAAAGGACAAGCAAGGCGCAACATCCCCAGGAACTGGGAGTCCTCGGCCTCCAGGGTGAATAAATAAATTATTAAGCGCCCAATACACAATAGCTTCGCTAGATGGAGTCGAGGAATCACTGCAGCGGCGCTGGCGGCGGCGGCGGGGAGCGCGGGCGGGAGCGCAGCTCCGGGCGGGAGGCGGGCGAGGCTCTGGCACCGCTCACGTCTGTTTTCCTTTTTCGTGCATTATTTATTTCGCCTCCATCCGCGGCCCTGCTGCGCGAGCTGGAGCTCGGGAAAGACGCCTCTCGTCGCTGCCTCCCGCCGGCCGGCCTAAAGCGCACGTACAGCCCCGGCACCCCGCGCCCGGGGCAGCCGCGCGGCGCCAAAGGGAAGGGCGGGGACCTCGGCGGTTCGCTGAGCGGCAGTGGGCTCCCACCCGGCTCGCACCACTGGCTCTAGGCAGGAGGAGGAGACTTTCCACGCCTTCTGTGTCCGCCTCGGCAGCGGGCCCCGGCCCCCGCCCCGGGTGCGGGGTGCCGCCTCTCCCGCCCCACGCGCCAGCAGGCGCAGCCCGGAGCTACAGCGCCCGGCGCCCCGTGCGAGCGCGACGCGCGGGGGCCCGGGCTCAACAGCGCTGGAGGCCCAGGCGGAGCGCAAACTTTTGCTTAAGTGCCCGGCGCTTTTCCGCTGCACGTGAAGCCCCCAAGCGACAGCGCAGTCGCCAGGGTGAGGACCGAGGCCCCGCCTAGGGGGCGGGGGACTTGGGAGGCGGCTGGCTTTAAATGCCGGCCGTCTGGGCTGCTAGGGAACAGAACTGCTGCTGGGGGCTCGCTGACCTCTGTTCTCTGTGGCTAGGATCGGTTGGGGCCGCCGCCAGGCAAGGTGGCGTGCGGCATAGAAGGGACGCGGGCGGGGGTGGAGGCATGCGGGAAAACCCACGCTCAGAAGTGGGCGGCTGGGGTTCCGGGGGCAAATGCGGGGGCGCACGGAGGTGCAATTGTTGCGGTGTGCGCCGTGAAGCGGGGGTGGGGTGGGGGCAGACAGGGTGCAACCGCGAGTCTTTTAGTGGTGCTGTGCATACAGGGTCAACGAGTGTGAAAGCAGGAGTCGGTAAGCGTGAGTGAGGGTCAGTAGGTGTGTGCGCAGGGTGAGTGGCTCCCTCCAGGTTTGAGGTGTGCTCCTGGTGACGGTGGAGTTGTGTATGGTCTTTTGTGCGGGACATGGGGTTCAGGAAGTGTACTTGGCTGGTTCTTGCGGTGTGCCTGGGGACAGGTGTGCACGCAGTACATTGAGGTTGTGCGCCAGGATAGGGTGTGAGTTCTAGGATATGCAGAGAGTCCGTGAGTATGCAAGCTGGAGTGTAGATGCAGGCTTGGTTTATGAAAGTTTCGCGGAGCGTGGGGCGTGCCCTCCCGGTCTGGAGTAATGTGTGTGCTGGTGTGCGGGGGGCGATGGTGCCCGTGCGTGCCCCGCTGACCGGAGCCTTGCACCCCCGACAGTTGGCCCCACCAGTGGGCGCCGTGGACCGAGATGCTCCCCCGAGACCTGGTGCTGCGCCGTGGCTGCCGCTGGCCCTCGCTGCTGCTGCATTGCGCACTCCACCCACTCTGGGGCTTCGTGCAGGTGAGCTGGGAGCCCGCTGCCTGGGCTCAAAGGTCTGTGGGGAGGAGGGAGGTGTTGCTCCAGACAAATAGGGCCTGGGGACAGTTTAGGGAGAAAACAGCTGGTAAGGTCCTCCATGCTTTGGCCCTGAAAAGATAAAGAAGTTCAAAAAGAGGCTTCTTTTGTGTCCCAAGGCCTGCAGGACAGGGCCATGTCATAGAAAAGAGCGTAAGGCTCTCTATCTGTTGGTAAGATGTTAGTAGAGAAAACTGGGGACCAAGAAAACAAACTTAAGAAAAACGATCCCAAGAACGTGCAGTCTCCATTTCCCACCAGATCCCATTGCTGAACTTCAAGTTGGCTAAACTGCTTTTCAACACAGAAGGGGGCCATGTTGCTTGCAAGTAGTGGAACTGGGGATGCGGCTGGATAATGGGAGATAATGCGCACTACTTGCCCAGATATAAGAAGGACATGTCTATCGATCAGGGCTGCCTGAGAATGAATTCCTTACTCTAGGTCCCAGAGGCAGAGGCCAGGAAGCTACCCGCTGACGTTACCTCCTAGGGCCAGAGGGAGGACTGGATGAGACACTCCCTAGTGCTGCTCAGGACAGTCATACTCTGTGGTTGAGTGCAGAGGCGGTGGTGGTTGGTGTCAGCTCTGCCCTCCACTAGTGGGGGGATTTGGGCAGGCTACTTAACCTCTCTGAGACTTGGTTTCTTCTTCCTCACTATGTTAGTGGAAGAACTTGATGAGATACGGGAAGCAAGGCTGGCCTGGTGCTGCGCCTGGCCGGAGGTAAACACTGTCAGGTAGCTGCTGCTGCTGCTGCTGCTATTAGCTGACTAATAGTGGTGCTCTTCCTTTGGCCTGCGGGGTCTCCCATCAGTCACATGGCTTGACAGCTTCCAATTAGGAGAAGTGTTGGGGATACTGAAGGCCCTCTCTTGGGTAGCTGAAGACTCATGGTCTCCTGCTGGTACTCCAGGGTGGGGGGACTATTGAGGTGGTGACAGAGAAAAAAAAAAGGATGGGGTGAGGCTGGTTCCAGTGTGCTGAGGTCTGAGAGCCCCTCTAAATGACAGGACCCTGCTGGGAACCAGATTGGTCAGTCTTGCTTGGATGGTGGCCTGGGTGATTCCCCCACCCCGCCCTGGGACCGGAGCTCTGAGCTATCCAGCATCTCCAGCACCAGGCCCCGTCTTCTACTTACCTCTCTGCCTCACAACTGTTTTCCATTCAGAACAGACACATTTATTTAATGTGTGAAACTGTACTTGTTAGACTCAGCTGTGTGTCCTCAGTGTTTTGTAACTCCTAAACCCTTTGGCACTTTGGGACTAGTTTCCCTTGTTCAACTTCTAGCTGCCCCTCAGATGTACAGCTCACTTAATGTTTATATTTGTTTGTTTGCAGCTTTCTCTCTTAAAGCTTTTTCAGCTAGCATGGAGAGTAAGGTGATGAAGTGTCTCTTTTAAGACTAGAATTCCTTGTGCAACTTACCAGAATCTAATAGAAGACCTACCTCATGGCTCCCAAAAGAAATAATTTTGTAAAAGCAGCATAGTTTTTTAAAATGTCCTTAAGCCAGTGGCATACACAAGTGTGTGTGTGTGTGTGTGTGTGTGTGTGTGCGTCTGCATACTCTTTCTCAATACTAATAATTTTTCATAAAAATCAATTAGAAAAGGAATCTGCCAGATAAATAGAATGGGTAAAATCTTGGCTTGAGGCTCTGGAAAAATTAATTTACAAATGATAGGGACAGAGAAACCAGGGATAAGTGTTTTGGAATGAATGGATCTGGGTTTTAAGTAGAAGAGCCGAATCCTGGGGAATGCAGGAGGGAAGAGAAAAAGGAAGTGCGCGAGGCCATGTGTTTCTCTTTAAATGGACAGAAGAAAATCTGTCATGTCATAAGAGTTTCTCAAACACATAAAGAAGCCCAGAGCTATCTGTGCGTCCATGAGCGTTTTGCCAGAAGACTGCTCTAGAAACAAACGTTTAGGCTGATGGGGCCGCTGCAACCAAGTCCTGTGATTCACGGGGTCACTGATGGAGCAAGAGCCCTGGGGCTCCCAGAGCACCAGGTTCCCCTGAAATCACCGTGAAGCCTCTAGCTGCTGCTAGATGATAAGTGACGTAATGACTAAAGTCAGATGCTATTTAAATTGCCAGAAGAGTTGGTGGGGACATCCATTAGCCTTTCCCCCTTTTGCTTTAATGTCTTTGGAATTGAGATGCTGTGCTTTTGTGATTTAGGGTTCCTTTAAGTTCACTTCAGTTGATTCTTCTTCTTCTTCTTTTTTTTCAAGGGAAGAGGATGACAGGCTAGCAAATTTATTAGGTGTGACAGGAGTGTGTCTCATCAAGTTACTGTGGTGCTGGCCAGTCTCCATAAAAGATGCCAGAAGCCATCATCTTTGTGGTCTCTCATCTGAAGCAACTTCCAGGGAGACAGGCTGGGGTCTGGCCTGACGGGGTCTGCGTGCTGATGAGCTGCTACCCAGACCCAAGTGAGGCCAAGCCTTCCGCGGTCAGTCTCTACCGCTTTGATTGTTTAGTCAGCGTGTGTTAGGCATCCACTCTATGTCAGGCCCGGTGTTAAGGACAAGTGTCTTAGTGGTCCCTATTGATAATCTGGTCTCAGGGAGTTCCTTGAACAGGGGATTGTTAGACAAGAAAGCTCAGTAGTAGCAAATAGCTTGGGCCTGGTGTCGGAGTCTGAGACCCCTCAACTGAGATATAAAGTTTGAGGAGTCAGGATGCAAATGGGAATGAAGCCTCCGGGGAACAACCTGAGGGGCAGTGGAGGCAGAAGCACTAGGCAAGGCCCCTGTTTTAACCCCTAACATCATGTCGAGGATTGGGCTTGATCCCAAAACCCATGGAGATGCAATGTGAAGGCAGAGGGGGCACCATCCCAGACAGGCACATTAGAGAGCTCAGGCCTGCTCCATCACAAAGGATGGATTCAAGGACAGGCACAGAAAGGGACAGAGACAGTGGTGATGGTAGGTCGGCCGGAGTTAGCAAATAAAAATGTAGGACATCCCGTTAACTCTGAATTTCAAATAAACCACTGGTTAATTTTTAGTATCAGTCTATTTCATACAATGTTGAGAACATGCTTACGCTAGAAAGTCATTGTTGTTATCTGAAATTCAAATTTGTTGGGATAGCCTGTATTTTTTCTGGGAATTCTAGGTATGAGGCAAGTGCTGCCTATGCAGATCTGGTCGGGGCCTGGTTAGAACAATGGCACAGGGAACGGAGAGAAGCAGTGGATCTAGACCATTTGGAAGTGGTGTTCACAGGGTCTGCAAGCCACACTGATTGGCTAGGAGCAGAATGGTCATTGGGAAAGGGGTGCTGATTCTGGAAACTGGTGGCCATAAAGCACTGTGATTCCCAGACTATAGTGACAAGTACCAAATCCAGGTGACTCTAGGGCCTACCTGTGTCCTCTCTGCAGCCACAGCAGTGGCAGAACTCTGACCCCAAAGAGAAGGCCATGGCCCAGGGAAGGTAGGCAGGCAGGCAGAGACAAGGCTGGAACAGGGAGTGACAATGCCATTGTTTGTGGGGTTTAAGCAAGTTGCTGACCTCCTAGGCCTCAGTCTTTCCTAACAGGTGACTTTAGCACGTGGTGCTTCTTGTGGGACTTCCCAAGATGGAAACCGATGAGGTCAAGGGCTGAGACAAGCTCCCCATCCCCGAGGGCTCCTCCCTGCTGGAGGGACCGCACCACTGCCCATCAGCAGAACCCTAAAGTAGAACCAGAGCTGGAGCATGGGGCACATCCCATGTTCCTCTGCTGTTGGGTAGACCACTCCCCAACACATCTTGGCATGGAAACCAACTACCAGGCTCTGGGCAACTTCTTTGTTGTTTGGCTGATCCCCATCTCATTTATATGTGGCTAACAGGCCTCCCTTCTTGGCTGTCCTCTGGAGAAATGAGGTCTGTGTCCAAGACTGACACTCACGAGGACTCAACAGGCTACTTGTTCATCAAAGACTTACCTGCCTGCCTGCCAAGACACCCACAATTCAGCAGGGAGTGGCAGAGAAAAATGAAGCTGCACCAAAGTGACAAAGCAGCACGGGGAGGGTAGACCTAACTTGGGGACCATGGGGTTCAGGTCAGCCTGCCCTGGATGATTGGGGGAGACCTTGGTTTTGAATGATGAGGAGATGTTGGCCAGTAGATAAATAGCAAGAAGTTGCAGGCTCGAACTGGACCAAACAATGAAGAAACTCCAGTGAGGCCCTAGTGGACAAAGCAAGGAGAGCCAGATCAGACTAGGTCCTTCTGAGAGGGTGGGGAGGTAAGTGGGTTTGCCCACCCCTTCAAGCAGGGGCTTCCTAGGAGAGACAGGGACCCAAAGATTTTAAAAGTATAGTGATCTCCTTCCTTTTTCTCCTTCAGCCTTGAGACTTGGCCCCGATTTTCCTGCCTGTCTTGTCTCACATCAAACACTCTTCTCCATCTGTGCCCATGTATCCTCTCCCAAAAATAGGCCATTGTTGGGCCAGGTTAAATAAACGTGCTCCTCTTAATCTTGCCCACGTCAGTTGTGCCTTGGAGACCAGGAAAGTAATTGCTTTGGCCCTGGCCTGGGACTGGAGTTCACGCACTTGGTAAAGTGCCGTGGGAAGCAGCCTCAGCAGACAGCTGTGGGGGCACAGAGCTTTCCGGCAAATCCGAGTCAGAGAAGGTGGCAGGGCAGAGGACTCAGGCCTGATGTGGGAGCGCTGGGGTAGAGCTGGTAGAAACAGCACGATGTGTAAGGAGTTAATCATCTCCTTAAAATAATGAAGAAAAGGTTCACCGCCTGGGGATGTGCTCTCCCCCGTGGGAGAGAAGATTGCCTTCCAGAGTCTGACAGGCAGCCAGTGGTCTTTTTAAAACACTACCGGGTTATGAGTTGAAGCCTGTTGGATGCATTTGGGCTGTAAATCAGTCTACCTCCTGCTGCTACCCTGAGGGACCTCACCTGCCTCTATCTTGGCCACATGTGGTGGGAGCTCCCCAGCCCTGCCACCCACTCAGCAAAGGGACCCAGAGTGGGACTCAGAGTATCACCGTGCAGAGGCGGGCTACATATGGTGGTGGTGAGATTGGGGTTCTGAGTTTCTCCTCCCTCAGAGGTGGCAGCCAGGTAATTAACCTTAACCACCACTGAGGTGGGAGTGACCTCCAATTCTTCTCTTTGTGCCTTTAAATCAGCTTGTTTCTTGGGACAGGCACAGAGCTTTGATGTGTGGCCTTCAGGCCGTCAGCATAGGCAGGTATCCTGGCAGTCAGTCTAGACTAGCGGTCCTCACGCTGCCCCTCTCATGTTTCTCCCAGAGGCCCAGCTCCACCCGAGAAAGTCTGATTGACTGGCTTGTGGGCAAGGCTCAGGCCAAAGCATTCATTAAAGCCCAGCTAGGACTTGGAAGCACTGGCTGGGCCCAGTCCCTACCTGCTCCACATGAGGAGACCCAGACTGGTGCTGGGGAAATGTCGGGCCAGGGTGCCTGAGATTTGGGTTCCACTCGAGTTTTTTTACATCCATTCTCCTACCCTTACCCCTTCCACCAGAGCTAGGTGGAATGCTATGTTTGAATGTTTGAATGCTAGGTGTTCTAGACATGCTGTTTAAAACAGTAAGGGGGAAACCGACCCTTGGCTCCACCCTCCCAGAGCTTGCACAGAGCTTGCAGCTGAGTGGAAAAGGCAGGTAGGATGCAGGCAGCCACCAACACAGATTTCTGCCCCCAAAGAGTGGAACCTGGTGCTGGAGCGGGGGTAGCCTAAAGGAAGGGGTTCTGGCCTGGTAAAAGAGATGGGTGCTCTGGTGGAAGGGGTAAGGGTAGGAGAACTTTCCAGGGACTGAAACAGGATGTGCACAGGCCAGGGTCCAGGAACTGAAAGGACAACATGAGGGCAGAGCAGAGGACACAGTGCATGCGATGAGCCAAGGCAGAGAGGTGCCCGTGGTTACACTGCGCAGGGCTGAGGGATATGCAGTGATGAGGCACTCAGAGTGAACTGGAGAGGGTGGTGGGCTGTGTTTCCCACAGGGCTACTCAGGCACCACACAGATAGCACCAGGCAGGCAGCTTTGCCTCTTTGTCATGTAAGACAGTGGGTAGAGGTCTGGTCAGGTAAGGCTGTTCTCCAAAGTAGGGGGACCTTGGCCCAGGATGACCCCAGAAAAGTAGCAGGAGATAGGACTGGAGCAAAGGCCAGGGCTCAGCCCTGTCCTGTTGGAAGGAAGATGGGGGATGGTTGGGCTTAGGATGACTGCAGAGTTAAAATGAAAATGTGGTCAGCATCTAGCTGTGACACCCCTGGGCTCCAGGAGCATCATTTTTGCCTGGGCTTCAGTTTCCTCTTTTGCACCATGGGGAACGTCTGCAGGTTAACTGGGAGTAGCCTTTACTAACATCCAGGCCACCTACCCAGAGTCCCAAAGCCAATCCTTGGCAGAGCTCAGAATAAACCTTGGTTGGTCTCTGCCCAGCTGCCAGCTTCCAGTAGCATCAATCCCTTTGACTTGTCTATTTTGCCTGCCATGGCCTTGGGGAAGATTCCTAAGTTCCAGCCAAGCAGGGGTCCCGGGGGCGGGCCCATTTCAGCTTCCAGTTGCTTGGCTTCCTCCTGCATCTCTTGGGTGTGCTCATGTCTGCAGGTGACACACGCTGAGCCCCAGAAGTCCTGCTCCAAGGTGACTGACAGCTGCCAACACCTCTGCCAGTGCCGGCCCCCGCCCCTGCTGCCACCCCCACCCCCACCCCCGCCACCTCCCAGACTCCTCTCTGCCCCAGGTAGGTAAAACCATACTCTCTTTTTTGGAGGGAGGGTGACTCTGGTTTCCTGGGCCCAGGAAGATCCAGCGAGCAAGGCCGAGGACAGCCCTGCCTCCTTAGTAATTTTCCACTGGCCGAGCGGGAGGGAAGCCAAGGCCCAACTTTTCTCTGCAGTCTGCAAAATGCCTTTCCCACAGCACGCTCCTGCGAGATGGAGGAGGATGTTTCTCCATCGGTTAATCGGATAAAAGTCAATCTTCGTTTGATGAGTGACCCGGCCTGGATTGTTCCGAAGGCCAGCCTTTAAAAGGGGCAGCCACTGGGTACTGTCTTAAACACCCCACCCACACATATGGTTTTATTTTTCAATTTTAATTCATGCTTAAGGAAGCAGTTTGTACAGAACCAAAGGCCAGACTCCAGGGGCCAAGTTTCGTTCGTGCCTCTCAGCCGCTTGCACCCAGTCCTGCTCAAGCCTCCTTTGACTTGTGTCTTCTCCGGATGATTGCATCTCTGAACAATTTGATTGCCTCGTCATTCAAACAAAGGAGCATTTCTTTAGCTACAAATGGCCTCAGCCCTGACCTCTGCTCGGTGAAGTCTTCTGCTTACAATTGCTAGTTGATGAGGTCTCTGAAAGGAGAGTCTGTATTTTAGATGGATCACGGACATCTTGGCTGGTAGGATGCCTGCGATCATGTCCCGGATCCACTTCACTAACCACATCTTTATGGAATTATTTTGGGTGTATTTTAAGTAACCTTGGCAAGGCTTATTA